CCTTAACGTGTTTCTCGTAGGGATTGAACCAAAATCGACCCAAAATCAATCGAAAATAGCCATCTCGAGGCGGACGAGCAGCGTCGTCGCTGGAGCACGACGTAGCCACCGTGCCAGAATTTCAGAATTGGCCAAAAATAGGGTTCTGACATTAATTTGAGATTTTTTGGGATATTTATAGATAATTGTTGTGCGTTTTAATTCCCGAAGAAAAATTTAGAGAATCAGGGGACCACCAGTAAGCACAGTCAACAAGTTTAGTTTTTCGAGCATCAATTTGAGTAAGAAATCCCTCACCATATTCTATGTTATGGAATTGAAGTTAAATTAACAATAATATGGTATTTTGTATAATTTAAAAAATATTATAATTAATTACGAATTACTAATGGAGGCAGAATCGAAAATTATCTATTATTATTTCTGTTGATTGATTTTATAGTTTTGAATGTATGATAGTATCTGATTGATCGATTTTATAGTTTTGAATGTATGTATTGTTTGTTTTATGTGTTTACGGTTGAAACGAAAAAAATAGAGATTAAAGAAAAACGAAAAATTGTGTGATTAAGTGAATTGATGAAACGACAATCTTATTAGATATCCTGAGAGATGATAGACAGACCAGGTACATAACGACCCCTACCGTGAACAGGGTATCGAGGTTTGGTAATTTGGCACTTATATCGGACGAGATATTGAGGTTTAGTAGTTTAACGCTCATACCGGATAGAGTATGGAGACGGCCTGTTAATTAAAATTGTTAAAAGAAATGGTTCACGCGTTGTGGGATATCCCTATGAACTCCCATGGATCCCAGTAGGCTGATAAATGATAAATTATTGTTCAAATCGATTACATATGAAATCATAATCTGTGTTATGGTATTATATCTATAAGTTGTTTTGTAAATCTCACTATGGTAAGTAGATGGTAAAAGATTTTATTTATGATAAATGATTTTATTTAATTAAGAGCTTCATTAGTTGTTTTGATTTTTTTACCAACTTTTATTTCTGTATCGGTGAGTAGCGTGATATTCTTACTGGGGTAGTGTAACTCATTCCTTATTTAACAATTTCAAATCAAAAAGACTAGAATTCAAAGTCTGATCTACAAAAGGATTGCGAGTAGGATGCCAGATTTATTTATTTTCTTAATTTTTTGTATTTCCTTCAAAATGGTAATTCTCGTAACACTATTTGATACTTTAAGTTATTGTGTAAGGAATATAAACATTAACTAATCATTTCACTTCTGCACTTAATTTATGATTTATTTCGTTTAAAATTCCGGAGTCGTTACAATGTTAGTGATAAAAGTCTATTTGAAAAAAAAATTAACATATCTTATATTTTGAACCCGAAAATAATGCAAAATTTTATTTGAGCTCTCTATATTATTTGATCATTAATATAAATAGGAGAATATATATTCTCCTATTTATATTAATGATCAAATACACCTTTTGACTCTTAAGAGAAAATTTTACTAAGGGATTGATTAAGTTGAGAAAATTGAAAAGGAAAAGAAAAACATGTTTTGAAGTTTGAGATGTTAAAGTTGAGTGATTAAAATATAAAACACACCAAACCCAGTTGCCAAATATAAAAATAAGACAATTCTATAATGTGTTATTTTTCATATATATATATATATATATATATGGATATGGATTACACATCATTAGACATTAGATGGATAAACATTCACTCCACACTTTCCATTATTTCCAATTGAGAGAGCAAAGTAGGACTCCACATGATCCCATTTTTATTAGCCCACATTTATTTTCTACAGCTCATATATATATATATATACACACACACATATATTTGAGCTACCCACATGTGTATATATATATAAACAAATGGATTCTATATTGCTTTTTGGAGCTTTTAACTACAAGTTGTCATTTCTATATAGTCAACTAGTAGTCATGTTTCCTTTAGAATTTTTAACTAACTTAATATTTTTAATAGAGAAATTATTATTTATGAATGTATTTTTCTAAGTATTTTACTAAAGATTTCAATTACAAAATGAGAATGCCAATCTTTATACACAAATAAATACAATGTTATCATATCAATAATATTTTCACATATGGGAAACCTTTACATGGGTACAATGAGAGCTATATATTTTTGTAAGGTTCTCCTTTAAGAGAATGTTAATAGTAGCACAAAAAAATCACAAACATTAGAGAATACAAGAGTTCAATGAGGTTAAAACTAACTTCAATAGAAATTAGGAATGAAGGATTGAAAATCCCTTGGTGTTTGTAACTAGTGATATATAAAATACTTTTTATCTCAAAGAAAAAAAATACAGATACTCCATTAAAGTTCCTACTCTTATCAACAAAATGCCATGGAAACTCACCATATATCTCCATTTAGATGTACATTTTTACATCCCACAATCTCCCATGAACTACTAATACCTTTTACTTTCTGTATCTGGTTTTTCATTCCCAAATCAAATAAGTGCATAATGTTCCATAGTTCTAAACTAAAAAACATGGTAAAAAAGAGGCACCAAAGTACCACCTTCAAAGAGAAACAAAAACTAGAACAAGTAAAAAGCAGGATAGATCCCTATCTAAACCTGTTCTCATCTAAGATTGTTAACCAGACTACCATAAGCTTCAGAATCAACAAGGTAATTCTCATTTCTTAAATTGAAAATCACACATTCAAAATTTAATTTCTATGGCAAGGTCAGAAACATGGTGAATGTATTACTACTTGATATTCAAAAACTCATCCTCTCAAGAATACACAAAACCAGATAAATATATAACTAATCGGATCACAACAAATTCCAAACATCAAAATATTCCCTTCCGCATAACCTAACAGGATAAGAAAACTAAAAAAGCTCGAATCATATTGTATTGATTGCACATTCTCATTTCTTCTTCCCACCCTTGGCAGCATCACTTGCCTTGGTCTGCACAAAATATGACAACCAAGTTAATAAATGATCCATCATGGAGAAACTTGGCTGGCTGAAAATTGCTATGATGAAAAATGAGCAATTTAGTTTACCTTCTTGACACCACGAATCTTCTTGGCCCTGTTCTTCCTTTCCTTCAACTGCTTCCTAGACTTCTCTACCTTGGTATCAAGTCCATTCTGTCCATGACATTGTTAATCTTTAGTTTGCTAAATGCCTATGACCCACTCATCTAATTTAGTTTAACTTAAGAAAAAAAGAAATTAAAAAAACATATTATAGTAACCATTCCGTCCAGCAGCAAAACAAATTACGTATCCGGTTACCAATATGAAGCAAAAACCCAGATATACCAGGTGAAGTCGCATTACTAGGAGTTACATGAATTTGGAAGCTCACAAAACAACACTATAAATCTGATTCAGAAAAACAATTTCAAAGCTACTCGTCAAGGTCTATGGGACAATAAAGAGAATTTTTAATTTGTGCCCATGTTGCATGCAGTACTAACGTAAACAGGAAACAACTTGGTAATTAGTTTAATTAGTTTAACCATTCTCCTTAAGGTCAGTTGACAAGATAGATTTGTGGAGATAACTGGTCCAATAAATGCTTCTGTCAATTGTTTCAATGTCAACCCTAGCGGAAAAATTCAGCTAGCAACTGAAATAGAATGCAGTTTGAAAATAAGAAGAATCTGAATATCAATTTGACTCTAAACAGAACCCAAAAAAGAATAGAACGAACCCAAGTCTAATGGAAACATGCACTCTCTGCATGCAAATGTGGTTGGCTGATGGAGAAAAATTCACCATAAGAACTAAGAAGCATGTAACTCAGAGAGTAATCCACTTAGAATTTAGTGCCATCAACAAGTAACACAATATATAAGGTTGGAACATTAATCATAATAGAGTTTTTACAAAATTATCAACCACGACGCAGAAAGACAAGGCTTTATAAAAAAATATTGAATCATTACCCTGATCAGCCTATACTTGGGCTCATACTTCTTTGCGCTCTCAACAGAATCATAAATCAAACCAAATCCTGTGGATTTACCACCTCCAAAATGAGTCCTGAACTTGAAGACAAAGATTGAATTGGGGTCTTTTACTTCATACATTCTGGAGAGCTTCTCCTTTAGCTCAGCCTTCACAGTAGAGAAACAACAAATCAATTGTCCAATATATATAAAATATTCAACAAAATTTACTACACGGAAATATGTCTAAACTATTCAATAAAATTTACATCACATAATAATCATTTGTAACCAAACTTTAGACTCAAAAGATAAGCAGCAACAAACCCTAGAAAAAATTAAAATCCGAACGGATTTGAATGATAACAAGATTAACTGCTCAAAAGCAGCCAATATTTACCTTGGAAACATTGGGTCTTCCAGGATGAAGAACATCGATAACCTGCATTGTTAACCAAATACACGAATGAAACCCATGTCTTATTCAAAGTTCTTTAACATTCACCAAACAAATCGAATTAAGAAAAATTAAAAAAAAAAAACCCAACAAACCCAAATGAAACAGCCAACAATGCAACAACAATCCCCTATGTCTAATTCATTCCAGTGAAACTACAAATAATAAAATCACGATTCAGTAACCCCTACTTTCCTTTGTAAAGTAAGATCTCAGAGTAATATCGAAACCCAATAGTAAGTACCTTTTTTTAGAAAGAGTAAGCAACACTGAAACTAAATACTAATTCAATAGTTTATCCTCTTCTGTGATCTGAATAAACGCCGTTAGAACAACGAGAAACGAAACATAAATCAAAGAAGAAAATCAAACGATACGACCAATGAAAAAAAAACTATAGTTTCCTTCCTTTTCTCCTTAGGGTTTCCATTCAATATATTACAAAAATTTAAAAAAAAACGAACAACAACTCAAACCTACACCTGTACATGCCAAGAAAACCAAATAAAAACAACAAAAGCAGCAAGCAAACCTCGAGAAATAATGGAAGTACGGATACATAATAGAAAAAGAATAACTCACGAACTGTTTTCTAGACAGAAGCCGGTTGGTCATGAACTTTCGGGTTCTGATGGTTACTGCCTTGTCCGCCATTGTTACACTCTGCAGATCAAAACTCTACCTTGAAGCACAGAGATGCAAACACTTACTCGGCAGCTGCTCAAGGAAAGAAGAAGAGAGCCAAAACCCTAGATTTTATAGTATTAGGGTTAGGGTTCGAAGATTGGGCTTCTGGGCCAATTTATCTCGATAAGCAAGCCCGGCTAATAAATTAATAAAATTAATGTTTTCAAATATGTCTCGTTAGATGTTTGATTTATATTAACTAATTTAATTATTTTATTTAACATAATTAGATTAATAAAAAATAAATATATCCTTTATACTGTGTTTAGTTATTTTATTTTTTATAAATAATTAATGTATGGTAAAATTTGATAATTGCATAAGATGATAATTATAAATTTATATAATATTTTATAATATTGTGTATTAATGTACGATGATGATAATTATTTTATTTGAATTGATAAAATGATATAATTATATATTTAATTAAATTATTAATTTATTTTTATTTTATTGTATGTAATATTAAGAAAAAAATTTATTTAACTTATAAAATAATTTAAATTATAATTTTTAATAAAATTTTTAATACTTAATATTAAAAAAAATAAAATGTAAATTTAAAAGTAAAATAAGAATTAATAAATAATTATGAATATAAAATAATAATAAAAAAATTCAATAATTAAAAACAATTAAATCAGTAGTTTAAAAAAATTTAAAAATAAAATAAAATATAATATACCATTAAAAATTATTCAAACAATCATACTATTTATTTAAAAATAATCCAAATAAAATAAATTTAATAAATTATTATAATACACATTAATAGTCTATCATTCAGTGATTGTTGTTTAAATTAATACTAAATACTTATTAATTTTTATATTTAATAAATTAGTATATAAAAATTAAATAATAATAAAATAAATTTTAATTAAATATAACATTAAAATTTTTTTCATTTATTAAGTAAAAAATAAAATTATATATATTATATATATATATATATTACTGTGATTGCTAATATTCTCAGCAATTATAGATATTAATTTTATATCATTTATATAATATACGTATATATTGGTTTATATTTAATATTTTAATTTCTAATATGAAAAATATTAACTAAACCAGACATAATCTGCCTCATCTCATGGTAGAATAGAATCTCAGCAGAAAACGACAAGCCATGTAAAAATTTGAGAAGAAGATGAGGTTCACCCGCGCAGAGAAAACCAAATCCATCCCTGACCACAACTCTCCTTCCAATTTCACCATCACCCATTTTTCCTCCATTGCAGAATCGACAGTCCTTCTCAAACCCACGAAAAATATCTCCCAATCCCCCTCTAAATTCCTGAACTGCGCCCACTTTCGGTGCGTCTTCTTCAAATTCCATGGCGACTGCTTCATTGCTGGAATTCAATCCTTTGAAATGGAAGCAGACTTTCCCCATCCAACAACCCATTCGTCGCCATTTACCCCTCCTTAAACCCTTTAAATACACAGCACGATTGAATTCAATGATACAGGGTTGTTCCAGACTCACCGTTGAGTGCTCCCTCGCCAGCCCGAGCAGGACGTCGACCTCGACTTCCACCTCGTTGGATGACGAAAAAACGAAGAACCCACTTGAGTTAATCGTCGGAACAATCTGGAAGATTTTGGGTTCTTTGAAGAGACCTGCAATAGCTGCTGTTCTATTAGGTTTGTTATTGATGTACGATCCAAGCTCGGCTTTGGCTGCGTCGGGCGGGAGGATTGGGGGCGGGTCATTTTCATCGCGGTCGTCATCGTCGTCATCTAGGAGTTACTCGGTTCCTCGTACGAGCGGTGGGGCGAGTTTTTCGTACTCGGCGCCGTATTATGGACCGTCGCCGTTTTTCGGCGGTGGTGGCGGGATATACGTGGGGCCGGCGGTTGGGGTCGGGGTGGGTGCTGGGTCGAGCTTGTTTTTGATATTGGTGGGGTTTGCGGCGTTTGTTTTGGTTTCAGGGTTCTTGTCGGATCGGTCGGAGAGTAGTGTTCTTACTGCTGCGGAGAAGACTAGCGTCCTCAAGCTCCAGGTATGATAATTGAATTTGTGTTTGAGTTTTATTTTATGAATAGGTTTTTGTCTTGTATGGAATGAGATTGATACTTCTGTTTTTTAAGTTATTTTCTTTTTTATGTAGATAGAATATGGATTTGTATGTTCTAAGAATTTTAATTGGGTGAAATGGTTATTCTTCTTGTTTATACATTGCTTCAGTCCAATCACCAGTGATGGAGGCAATCTGTCCTCTAACTAGCTCTTCAAATCTTCCGTTAAACCCTTTAAATGCACTGCATCACCAAACCATGTACAGGGTCTTTTAAACTCAGTGTTAAACATCTATGACCCAAGAGCCCAAGAGCGGTGGCACTCATCCTTGTTAAGGTCCCATGGTTCCTTGCTATTTACAACGAGGTTAAAGTTGGTCGGTAGACCACCCACCAAGCGAGTTCCTTTTTTTAAAAAAAAAAGGGGGAGAAAAGATCTGCACCCGAAAGAGTAGTTAAATGAGCTTCAAAGCATGCAAAGGCTTACCCAACTTGTTTCTAGTTTCTCTATTAAGGAAAACCGGGAGAACCCTCTGGAGGGTATGGCAGGAGCAATATGGAATTCCTGGATTTGTTGAAAAACTGTCATAGCTGCAGCTTTATTGGGGTTGTTCTTGATGTGCAATCTTAATTTAGTGTTTGGTTAGGTCCTGCAGGAGAAGGGGGAAGCTCATTTTTTTCATTGTGGTCTTTGTCCAGATTGACATGGCAGCCATGACGGAGTTCGTCTTATTCATTGTATTATCATTGTTTTCGTGCTATTCGTTTAAGTCTAGTTCGTAATCAAGCTTGTTGTATTCGTATTCATCATCTAGTTGGTCTTATTTGTTCAGTGACTCGAAGCGTGGTGGTGGGTTAGACGTGGCTGGGATAGGAAGGCTGAGAATTGAGATTCCCATGGATTTTTTTGGGTTTCTCTGGCCTTAATGCTATCTATTTGTTAGCTGTGAATATGCAGTTTCTTGCTTATGGAAAACTAGTGTCCTTATGTTTCACTTCATGGTGGTTCAGTTGACCATTGTTGTTTCAGTTGCTATGTGCCATTTTCTTTTTCTTATAGCCCCACTATTGTGTTGTGGAAGTTGGCATAGAAGCTGCTGAAATTTTTTACACAACTCCTTAAAACTGGCCCGACCACACCAGAGTCAAAATTAGAGAGAAACCCATTTAGGACACAATATACCAAGTTACCAGCATAGTTTTTTCTTTTCCTAATTACTGGAAATCTTTGTCATGGTTGGATGATGATATCCCTTACTTCCAGGAACTGGCTGCAGTCTAGTCTGGACACTAAATAGAAAACCACCTGATGTCCAAGGAGAAAACAGTAAATGGCTAGGTTGCAGAGTTTTGCGAAAGGGAAATTTACAAGGGACTGGAAAATAGAATGCTATGCGAAAGTTGAGGCTCCATTACCTAGTAATGAGATTTTATGTTGAAGGAATATATGCATGACTTTCATTCAAGTTAGGTGCTTCTATGTTATTTGCTAAATTCTCAACACTGGATGGAAGCCTGGGCTCCAATCAGTTGTAGCTGGATTCCATGTTGAAAGTGATGGAGGCTGATTTTTCATTCAAGTTATAGGCGCTTCTATTAAACTTGTTGAATTGTTAATGCATGATGAGGAAGTGTTTTTAAATGCTATTTTAATTGTTAATGTAGTTAATCCTGCAATTCTTTTATGACACAATATGTAGTTCAAGGATTTTCTTTTTTCTCATCTTTTGGTAGGTTGGATTATTGGGTTCTGGGCGTACTCTTCAAAGGGATCTTAACCGGATTGCTGAAATTGCAGATACATCTAGCCCAGCTGGTCTGAGCTACATATTAACAGGTAAGCCATAAGCTTTTGCTCCTGTAGCTTTTCATTGTTAGGTAAAGCATATCAGTGAATTTTGAGATATGATCCAGGAGTACATTGCCTTTCTCTTATACTGCAATTTTTACTTGATTACTTAGTTTTTTTTTTCTGCAAAACAAAGTTGAGATGCATTGGACTTTTCATTTTGTGTGAAGCAAGTAAATGCCTTCTTGGTAAAAGCATATATGGTATTCATTTTCTTGTTACTAGTTCTTGAGAACATCAATGCTATGACATATATGAAAAAGTGGACACTTGGAAATTGGAAGACAAATGTAAAAGGTGTTTGAAACCAAAGCAAAAGTGTGTGTTTCTTCAACCATAAACTGTCGTGTTTGTGGTGTAAGGAAATATACCTGTAAGAACGTATTGCCACTCTGTTATTTGTTCTTTTCTATCATGAAGATATAAAACAAAGCCAAATTGGATTGCAGTTGAGATGACATGTCGCAGTTTCTTTTGGTTGCAAAGGCAAAGCTTGATAAGCCAGTTATCAGAATTTGTACAGATTCAGAAGTGTCTAATATCATTACTCATCTTTTCCTACCTTTGCAGAGACAACACTAGCATTGCTCCGACACCCTGACTATTGCATCTCTGGTTATTCATTTGTAAGTTAACTGCTACTATGTTGAACATTTTGTCTGTATCACAATATCAGCACCTGTTCTTTTAAATAGGCAAACTTAGTTATTTTCTTGTGCATAGATGCAAAGCTCCCTAGTAATAGTACACTTCCTTTTTAAAGGGGAAAATACTTTTTTATTTTAATGAAGCAAAGTAATTCAACAGGGCTCCATTTATGTAAGAAGAACATGTTGATTACAAGAATAAGCTCCAGAAACCTTATTTGCAAGGGAACTTCCATCCTGGAGCTTGCACTCTGCTCTGCTAAAAGAGCTTATAAACTTTTCTTTTTTGGAAAAAAAAAAAAAAAAGAATGACAAACTTATAATCTATGACTTATATGCTCTTTGGCGTTTGCCAAAAATGTAAAAAATTTCAAAATGCTATTACCAAAAGTTTATAAGCCTCTGTTTACCACCTTATAAGCTTAACCGAAAGCCTTCTTGTTCTATAACCTTGAATAAGAATTAGTTGGTCAACTTTGAATTTAGAAACAAAAGGAGGAAGAGGAATTTAGACAAAAATTAAGAAAAGAAATTGTATCCATTTGTCTTTTAACTTTGTTCAAGCGATCTCCACTAATCTGGAAGCACCTACTACTTATGTCCCAAATTGTGCGAGAAAATGGTAGGTGCATTATCTGCTTCATCCAAGTGAAACGGATGCATCTATAAAGATGTTCTTCTTCTGTTCTATAAGGAAAATTTGTGTTTATCAAGGCAAAGGAGATATGAGACCTCAAGCTTGCTCTCCCATAACCTACTTTTAAGTCTTCAATGAAACTGCTTCTTTAGATTTGAAAAAATTCATAGTGAAAGCCTCCACTTCACCACATCTTTGGTGAGTAATTACTGAAGAGATATGCACATGTATTTCATGTCCATATTCTATTTCCAACTTTTTTTTTCCTTTTGAAAACGGAAAAAAAAAGAAGTCCCCGATGCACACTTCATTATCTTGGTGTAGTAGTTGGATGTCCTTTATTAACACAAAATAATAATAATAAATAAGAGAACCATTTCTTCAATGCATAGAACCTATTTGTTCAAGTTTTTCATGGGACTAATTAATATTTACTGTTCCTACTACGAAAGGGTGTAGTTTCAGATACATGCTATTTGTTCTTGTCTCTTTAATTGGATGTACTCTTTGTGGACAATGGTTCTCTTCTGCCTTTGCAATTGATCTTACACTATTTTTTTTTTTGTTTATCCATTGTGAACAAATTTCAATCAGATTCCATGATTGCCAATGACATTCTAGTTTACTTGTGGCATTCTTTTCAGGTAGATGTGAAATGGAGCATTGAGGATGGGGAGAAACGCTTTAATCAACTTTCTATTGAAGAACGGGGAAAGTTTGATGAAGAGACTCTTGTCAATGTGAACAACATCAAAAGACAAAGCTCCACAATTAAAAGAGCCAGTGGATTTAGCAATGAGTATATTGTGGTAAGGCCTTATTTCAGAAGTTACAGCTATTGCTAATGGGAACTTGAATCTTAAATGGGAAATTTTTCTTGTGAGAAGACATTCTGAACTATATTTTTTAGCTTCAGCTTGGTGCTCGTATAAGCATGGGGAAAATTGGATAAGAAGTATACATTGCAATGTGAAAGCTTAATATGTAGTAGGAAAAGGGTGTACTGCTCAAATTAGGGCACAAAAGTCAAAAGGTTTGCCTTTGTAAATTAATAGTATATCATTTCGCACCTTGTGAACTTTTCCTGCTTCTATGCTATCAAAAAAGCCTCTGTAAAGACGAGAATGTATTAACAAGACATCAAGGGAGTGGCAGCCTAATACAAAAGGAGAATTTACATGTAAGTCAAGATGTTAGTTAGGTCCTCAAAATCTTCATCAAATTAAAGAGGGTAACCTTCAAACAAAAACAAGGGCTGTAACCAACAGTCTCAAAATGATAACTAATCCAATCAATGAACCTTTAGCTTCATCGATTTGAAGATTGATGAGTACTCCCTCAATCACTTTTTGTAAGAAAAAGATTCCTCTAAGTATTAACTGAAGAAAATGATTCACTTTCATGTGTCAAGATATTTACATCAGTTCTCTAATTTTCTTAATACAAGAGTGGTAACCTAACCGGGTGCTTCATATTTAATGTGTAGGTTATTCATGAATTAGTTAATATTGAGATTTAATTGGCATGAAGATTAGGAACTTGTCTTGCCTAGCCTTTTCTGGCTCTAATTATTGTCACCTTTCAGTTTACTTATCTCAAGTTTCTCATTTTTCAGATTACAATCTTGGTGGCTGCAGAAGGGGTGCATAAATTACCCACTATAAATGGCAGTGGAGACTTAAGGGAAGCTTTGCAAAAGCTTGGTGCCATTCCAGCAAGCAAAATACTAGTAAGTAGAGAAATGTCCCTTATTTGTGGTTTGTAATTTACTAAAAGAATAGAACAAATATTAATCCTTTCTCCGTAATAATACACTGAAAGGGAGGAGGGCGATAGCATAGTTTTTTTCCAATGCAATAAAGTTACATCGTGTCTATTTTTCGTTGATAAAGGGGTATTTCCATGGGTTTGCCTTGGTGATTTTGTTGCTGAGACCTCTTTCATGATCATGCAGGCAGTTGAAGTGCTATGGACCCCTCAAAATGAGAATGACACACTGTCAGAGCGTGAACTTCTTGAAGATTATCCACTTTTGAGGCCTTTATAAGAATTTATCTCTGGTACTTTGCCCTAAAGATGTGAATCGGAAATGCATTTGAAATCCTTTTTGACACTTGTATAGATAAAGTTGCTTACGCTGTGCTAAGATTCAGGCTGCCATACAATTTGCCCAATGGTATTATGCTGGCCCAAGTTTGTAAAGTTATAGGGTTTAAAAAGAACAATTCTATACTCGTAGACAAAGGATTATGTCTTTTGAGGTGTTGCTTGTGCACATATATGGTAGAAGCAGTAACTAAATGAATGCTTTCCTTACATTCCAGATTATTTACATGATTTGTTTGAAAAAGAAAATGACTTCAATAAGCTGCCACTTGATCAATATTAATATTTTCCTTTGTTCTCTTGGGATACTGGCTGAATATATTGTAAGGTTTGATTGTTAGGCATTCAGAATATTAATTTCCGAAGCAATTGTTGGCTGTGACATATACAAGTCATTTTCCTTGTTCGGGAAATCTCAAGTTGTACTGATATTTGTTCTTCTGAGCATTATTTTCATGGTTCCTGTAATTGATGCATGTTTTCCATTTTCAGTCATTGCTCTCTTTTTTGTGAACTACGACTGTGTTGGATGGCGAACAAAGTGAGAAGACTCCTGGGCCATCACTAACGGGGTTGCTTTATCTAATCTCCACTTTGAGAAAAATGGCAGGATAAGAAACTACATTAAGCTATTCTTAAAGATTTTCCGCTTCGATATCTCACTTGACTTCTTTTTTAGGAATGTGCAAATGTAGTTTTATGTTCTATTGCCCCTATTTCATTATTTTCACCGATAAGGCAGACAACATGATCTAACCCGAATTCATCTTCTTCTTTTTTTCTTCTTCTTCATGAGTTGAAACCAGAAACTATCAACAAAGTTTGGTTTAGTTATCTGAACCTGTGCTTTAATCTTTTTTCTCTTAAAATTACTACTTATACAAGATCAATGATTGTTGACAGCTATGATCTGGTGACCAAGGATTCTGTTACTTTCAGATTATTCTCAAGATCACAGAAGGCAAATACGCAGATTCCTACGCTCAGATCCACAAGTTTCCTTGTTCCTGGAGGTAATATTTTCGACGACTCATTTACATGTGTTACCGCTTTACCCGGTTTCTACCCATTTGATAACTGTATCTGTTTGTTCAGCTATTAAATTTGCATTAGGATTAGGAATAGGATTCTACTGTAATCCCTCAGAGCCGAGTCACCGATGGCAATTCAGTAACTTTGAGTTTAGCATTCTGGAATAGTTCAGTTACTATATTAAACAACTGAAATACTATGAAATATAACATGTAGAATTTGACTCTTGTCTCTATCATCACAATTGTGGATTTGTGCCTAACACCAGGTGTTTCTTAACATTATAAATAAGGTTCAAGTTGTTTTGTTTTATTCTTTCTTGTCCATTTGGTATTCCATTTAGTGTAGGGCATAGATGCATTGGTGGTGATTGTTGGGGTATCTTTTGCCCTACTTACAAAAGTCTCTGATATTCCTTTTAAAGTAGGGAGTTCTTAGTTATCTGTCTGTGATGCAAGGCAATATTCAACTCTTGCTTGTATCAACCACCGAGATTGCATTTAGTCACAATTGAAATCTCGATAAGTACGTAGAGTTCGTCTTTTTCGTATTTGTAAATGTACTACGTACTGACAGTACCCAATTTATAATATTTGATTCAGTAGAATTAAGAATTGGGTTGCGTGATCAAATTGAATCACGAATACGTTTTAAAAATGAAAAAAAAAAAGAAAAAAAACAAATACCAACTTCTTTGATAGAATAATAGATTAGAAATTCAATCTATGTTTATGTAAATTGTTCTCGACATTCGATAACCAGAGTCATTCTTTAATAAATAAATCATTATAAGTTAGACTCGATAAAATTTTAATCAATCATTTTTTTTTTTTGCCTTCCACTTACAGAAATGAATTGAGAATTCTTTTTTTTTTTTTAAATCATTGTTCGCTGACCTTCTGATCAAATTTTACGTGTAATTCAATCTCGTAAATCTTTTTATTGAGATTTGTAGTAAAAATATATTTTATTTCGAGAAATGAAATATAATATTATATTATTTAAGTTACTATTTACAATCCATATTTCATAATTTTAGATATTAAAAAGTTGAAATTCGTGAAAATAAAAAGTAGTAATTATGTTTGTCTTTTTCATTCAAAAAGGAGTTTTTGTAAAAAAGCAAAAACTTTTTTATGACCCAACAAGAACAAATCCTTCCGCTCCCTCATCGTATGCCGTCATGGCTGTTGTAATAATAATATTATTAAATAATAATAATAATAATTAATAATTGACGTCATTATCGTCGTCATTGCAATCTTATCCTGATTTCTTTTTTTTTTTTTTTATAAATTTTTTCAAAAAGTTATATAATGTTTATCTACACGTGTGTGTGTGTGTGTGTAAATTACTATTTTTTTAAAAAAATATATTTATATTAACTTTTTATTTTAATTTTAAATTATAATTAGGGTAACTAATTCTTATTTGATCTCACTTTATTGTTTCAATTGTATAAATGCCAAAGGAATATATATATGTGTGTGTATATATGTGTATATATACATATATATATATATATATACACATATATTACATGCTTGCTAGTAAATCAACCATATTTTAGTATTGTGGAAGAATATCACATATATTACATGCCAAAGTATACTCTTGATTTTACTTACTTTAACCAAGATTTCCCCCCCACCACCAAAAATAATTTGACATTGACAAGATCCCACAATCTATATATACATATATATATGTATATATAGATAGATATATGAAGAACCCACATTGATATTAGTTATATATATACATATAATGATAGTATAATACACGTAATTCCTTCCTTTCTTTTTTTTTTTTTACAAATAAAAGGTTGGCAAAATTTTAAAACCATGAGTTGGCCTCCACTTTTTGTTACCCACTTATAAGTATTTCATTTTTATAAGTAATTAAATAAACTTGTTTTGCCAAATCAAGTTTCTTTATCAAGTTGGTAAACCATGACTAGTCTCCAATGAGTACAAAAAGGAGTACTTGTTGGTACAAATTTTAATATAATCACTATGTAATTCATATATATATATATATATACACACACACACACATATATATATATATATTTGCAATATACACCCACTAATGTGATAAACCTTTTTATTAATAATGGGCTAAAATGGTAAGTTGATTAATGAATTATATATGATAATTTAATAAAAATATAAATATTAAATTGTATATGTATCTATAAGTTATGTACATATATGAAAGCACATTTATTTTATAACTTTTATATATTAGGAAACCAAAATAATATACTATTTTTTACATATATAAATATAATTTTGAAAAATGTAATTTTTTAGTATTTATTTTTTATAAATTTTCTCGTACCCAATTAGAACTATACAAAAACAAGTATACATATGTAGCTATATACTTTCATATATGCATATTCATATATATATATATACATAGAAATTTCAAAAAAGTTCCATATTCTTATTGTAATTAAAAATTTCTTAATCAAAGATAACTCTAGAGATCATGATGGTTGCTTAGTACAAAAAAGAGTACTCACCGGTACAATATATATATATATGTGTGTGTGTGTGTGTGTGTGTATGTATATATATGTATAATAGAGTTGGTGA